CGTGCAAAGAAAACTCTAATTCTAGAATTCGTAGATCCTTGCCGGTGTTGACAGAACCTTCACGAAATGTAGCAGTCAAAATTCTAAGGTCTGACGTGCATGAATCAAGCCATCAGCTGGGAGAAAGGAAAAACACAGTTTTAAGCTCCTTAGACTTTGTCCAAAATGGTGCATAACTCCCAACTTATTTTGTAACAAATAACCTCCCTACCTGGACCGGGGCTGACGGAAATGAAATTCCACGACTACACTCGCCAGGCCTCACACATGGGACTGTGGTTTTACTAATTTTTAGGGGTGAGCATTGACTGCTGGTATGTTTCGTTATTTATAAGTGTTTTATTTGTTTGGGTAAATATTTTATTTAAATTGAAAAAAATTAGATAAGTAATGAATATAAAAATAATATATTTTTGAGTATCAAGTCAAATAATAAGTATAAAAATTTAAAATTATTTACTTAACATGTTTAATTATTTTATTTAATTGACTTATTATCTATACTTGTATAATTAAAATTTTATATATACTTATTATTCTTGACATCTATATAATAAAAATAATTTTTTTTAAAAATAAAAAATAAAAAAAAATAAAAAAATCACAGATACAACTTATAAATAATAAATCTTAAATTAAACACATATCACATCCGTAATCAACAACTTTTTCCTTCCTCACATTCTTAGGTAATGGTGAATGCATACAACTCCAAATTTTGATTCTTTTTAGTTTTCTTTTTGGCTTTTTATTAGTAATTTTTGAGTCATGCCCTTTGTTTATTATATAGATGATTTTTTTCCTTGAAACTCCAAATTTAATATGATAAAAATCATAAAGTCAAAAGCATAAATATTAAGATGTTAAAATAGATACAATACCATCAATTATTAACCCTTTCTAATAAATGAAGTAGAGGATTAGAGGAACCATGAACCCAAAAACTTGAACATTTCCTTTGAAGGACTTTCATTTTGTTATTTAAATTATTTTCATTCTTTATTTGTTGAGAAAATATATTTTGTTCTTTATTGTTAATATATATGTTTTTTATTGTTAATTATTTAATTGAATTTAGTTTTTTAATGGTATCTAGATTTAAGTTCTAGATAAGTTCTAGATATGAAACTAAATTTTAGTTCTTTCTTGTTATTTTAGATTATATTTAAGTTTAGATTGTAATGAACAATATTTTATTAAACTTCTACTAATTTTATTTATGTTTAGATTGAAAGTAAATAATATTTTATTAAAATTTGATTTTAAAAGATTAAAGCAAGATATCATTCAATAATTATATAAGTATATACCCACAAATTTTCTAGTGTTTTTTCGGTTAAACACCAAATATAGGTCTTCAAGTATTTAAATAAATATCAAATCTAAAAGGCCATACCTAAAATCTTTCAAGTTAAATACTAAATATATATCTCATACTTGACTTGCACACAAAAATGCTCACCTCTACTAGTTTTTATTAATTTGTCTTTGGGCTATGATCAATTGGGTTTTTTTTTTTTTTTCCTAATAATGATAATTTCAACTAATTTTTAAGATAAAAATTAGAATAAATTTATGGTACTTATTGATTATAGTGTGGGTCTTATATGAGCTTACATGATTAATAATTGAAAAAATTTTACCTTACAATTTGATTTCAGGAATTATTACTCTATGTTTAATAAAAAAAATTATGAATTAGTTCTTGTTTTAAGATTTAATTTTGAATTATATTTTGATTTGAGAAAAATGAAAGAGTGTCGAGGCATGCGGAAGAATTCCTTCCCTTCCCACCTTTTATTTGGATATTTCAAAATAAATAAAGTAAATTAAATAAAACATTAAAGAAAAGAATTTCAATTTTTTAATAATTAAATAAAAAATTTTCCTCTGCTCGTCAAACCAACGTACCCTTATTGTCAAACCGCAATACTTATTAAGTTATTATTGTGTAAACCAAATACTTATTTCGATCAATATTCGTTACCTGGGCTTGCCTTTGTTATTCATCATCCATGCATCACCACTGCAACCTGCCCTCTGTCGAACTCCAACTTTTATGCCAAATAGACACGTATTTTAAATCTTCTTTTTTTTTTTAAATAACACGTATTTTAAATCAATAACCTCCACTCACAAGTAACTATCTATAATTTACCACTTATTATTTATTACCTACTACCTGCAACGATTTATTGTCAAAGATCCCTAATTGTCATCAACGGAGTTTCAACCCTTAACACAAAACAAAGCTGTAAGTTAGAATGAACCAATTATAATGCATCAACCCTTTTGGTGAAATGCCTTTTTTATTATATCAAAAAATTAACCACTTAACCGCACAAAAATTTGAAATTTTAATCTTAATTTTAGTTTAAAATTTTTCTATTAATAAATATTAATTTAGTTAAACTCCGATAAATTTACGATGAAATGTATTATACCTCGATAGCAGCAGCACTTTATTATAAAAAGACGTATAAAAAGAGCGTTGACAGTAATATACATATATTCTTTAATATCATTGGCATAAAATCTAAGTCATATCTCTCTGTAACAATGAATGCATATGAAAGTGTTAAAAGTAAGCTGACTAACACTCATAAAAGCAAAATTAAAAGATTTTTTTACAAGAAAAGTCAAAATAAAACCGTCCAATTTTAATCACGTCTTAAATGAGGCAATTAAAACTTATGAATATATTCATGCCTCCGGTTATGGCCACCAACAACATTATTAAAGGTCATTAATACTTTATTTTTGTTTTGTAGAATTATCTTTTTATCCATTTAAGAAAAGATAAAAATTGAGAGCAAGTTAAAAAGATGTAGATAAAAAATAATTTAACAAAATAGAAAAAAAATATTAGTGAGCTTAATAATTTAATCTATGATTATAACAATTCTCTTTATTTATTTTAATAGTATCAATAAGATTGGACCTTTGTCAATTAATCTTGATAGGAGGAAGTCTTGATTTTTAACATTTTATTTTTTTATTATGCCTTAAGAGGAGGAATAGATTATTTTTTAATTTATTATTTTTTTATGTTGATTATACAATAAAAGATAATTTTCTTTCATCCCTTATCACACATCAATCATATGTAATGCAACTCGAATTTAATATTTTTTATTTTTAATAAAAAAAATTATCATTAAATTATTTAAGTTGTTGGTAACCTATTATAGTTCAAATTACAAATTACAAAATATAAGACGTTTTTGTTATTAAATCATTTTTCCCTGTAGAAGTCCAAAGGTCAAAACCAATCTCCTAAATCGGGAAGCAATCCCTGGGATTCGATCTCGATTTCCTCCGAGCAACTTACCTTTATACGTTCTACTTCCATGGTAACATATCCAGTGCCACATAAAACAATACCCCATTGCATTGCATGCGCCCATCGTGTCTTTTAAATTCAGTCTCCCGCTCCGATCTTTCTCTTTGTTCACCTATTACAATACAGTATTTCTTTCTGTTTTCTCGTTTTCGTTGGTTTCTGTTAGGGATGGGGAGGAAAAGAACGTCACCGGTGAACGTGCTGTTCGGATGGATAAGGAGGCAGTCAATGAAGGTCAAAATATTCCTGGGGACGTTGGCGGCGCTGGGATCCCTGGTGGCTTTGAAGTACCTTGTTCGAGACCATGGCTCTTTCTTTGTTGCGTCTGAAGCCATCCATGCCTTGGGAATCCTGGTATTGATTTACAAGCTCAGTACCAAGAGGACCTGTTCAGGTACATTATGCTTTCACACTTTTTTTCTTTTCCTTTTGGGAATAACAATGATTTTTTTTGTTAATTAAATTCAATCCCCAATTACGTTTATTAATCATACAATTTCTTCTAGGATTCAAGATTCGTTGAATTCAATTAGCCGATTAGGGCTCATATTCAGAGTTAAGAAATTCAAATTTTAATTATTAATGATATAAAACTAGAATTTGGGGTTTAAGTTCTGTAATTAGCGAGTTATGCACCTTTAAACATGAGGATTATGTGTCCAATAATTTTTTAGTTTTACCGAAAAGTTAGTTGCTTAACATTGAAAAGGGTTACATTGCAGGGTGGAGGAATGCTCATGTTTTTAACTATTACTGTTTCAGGCCTGTCGCTTAGATCTCAAGAAGTCACTGCTATCTTCCTTGCTGTAAGATTGTTTTGTAGTGTCATCCATGAGGCTGACATTCACACAGTTCTCGATCTTTTAACTCTCCTCGCTACAGCATGGGTTATATACATGATCCGATTCAAGTTGAAGTCAACCTACATCAAGCAGCTAGATAACTTCCAGATACTTTATTTGGTAAATCGATTCTTCCTTGTTTGCATCCTTAGAACTATGTCAGATTAATTTTTATGAATTAGAAACCCAACCCCCACCCCCTTCTTTTCGTGCAATTCCTGATTCTCTTTTAAATGTCACTATTTATACCTCATGAGTCATGAGCTTGACATTTTCAACTATGCTCATTATGTACTCTGGTCCATTTGTTTGCTCAATTAATCTAATATTCTTCTTTTGTGTTATTATGCTGATCACTCTCCTAATTTTATGTGAAAATGGAAGAGGGAAGTTTATGAGTTACAATAGAAGAAACTTGAAAGAGTAAATATGTCCTTATTTGTAATTGAATTTATCTGTATGTGTTACTGTTAGGTGGTGCCTTCTGCTCTCCTTGCTATTCTAATCCACCCTCATTCAAGATTGGGATCTTTAGGTGGAATGGTTTGGGCATTTGCTGTTTATTTGGAATCAGTTTCGGTGTGGCCTCAGCTTAATATGATGCAGAAAGCACAGGTTTAAGCCCTATTTCTTGCTCATACTAACATTTCACATATATGGAATGAACAACAGTCCATATTTTTCTGTTCTGGTATTGCTTTCAGATGATCGAACCATTTACAGCCCATTATGTATTTGCACTGGGTGTTGCAAGATTCTTGGCATGTGCTCATTGGATTATCCAGGTGAATTTTGGTCATATAATGCTTTCTTTTCTTTTCTTTTCTTTTTTTAGCTGTATGATTAGACTAAAATGCCGATAAATAATATGATTATACCAAAATTATGTTGAACAACTATGTCAGTGGATCACACATTCTCAATTATTAACATTTTAAGAAATAAACTGTCCTCATACTCATAATTTGTGGACAAAAATAAGTATATATCAAGGTTGAACATGGACAAGGGAACATGGCTACATGTTTGTGTAAAGAAAATGCTTATATGATTATAAGAAAATAGTTAGATGTGTCCTTGTATGCAATATCCAGAGTATCTCTTCGCTACACTCACACATTTATAGGGGCAATGGATCCATTTTCTTTCATTTCCACAGAAGCTTAATTATATAGAAAACGTTTCAATTAGTAGATGCAGCCAGGATATGTTGGCTGTATGTAGGCCCTAGGCCTTTCGACTAACTATTGTCTAAGACATTGTCCATTGTATTGGAAAAAAATTATATAGCCAATATGCACGTAAGCATGTAAATATGGAAATGAAAGAATTTGTTAATTATTGGCAATTGAACTAAATATTTTTTACCGCAATTTATAGGTTATGATTACTAAAATGAAGAGTTTGGATTTGAGCTATATATACATATATTAGTGTTTATCATGCGGACTTATTTTAGGTAGAAAAACACTTTAAAACTATGTTGTTTAATAAAATATCATATAAAAAGACAAACAATATCATTTTTACTTAAAATATATGTTATTTTGGTCTCACGAATTACTTCTGAATCTGAAGTATTTTTTTTATCCATTTCATTTACAGGCTTGGTTGATAAAAATTTTACTATATATATGGAAAAGTGTTTTGTAGGTCATTCTTCTAAATTATTTTTTGAGAATTTGTCTAAAAATTCATCTTTTAATTAATTTTTTTTGAAAACTAATTGTTAGATTAAAAATTTTAATTATACAGATCATATATGTCAATTTTTAGATTAATATAGTCATTCTAACCAATTTGTTGATTATATTAAATTTGAAAATGTTAAATATATATCAACAAATAGAGTTTTTAATATCAAAAGATTATAAATATTAAATCAATATGAAAATTATCATGCATAAATTACATAAATATAATTTTGATTCTAACAGTTAGTCTTTGAAAATATTAATTAAAATATAAGTTTTTATACTACACTATAGGAACCAATATATATATAGTGATCCACTTGTACACAAGTATTATATATTATACTTAGATAAAATCTGAATCATTTATTTTTTCAATTTCAATGGTTGAGAATTATTAACATTTATTAAAGATAACTATCTTTGTAACCTAAAAAGTCGTAACAAATTTCAACAATTAAAAGTGAAAAAAATAAATAATTGTAATTTTGTATAAATATGATATGTGACATTTGTGTGTGAATAAATCCCTCTTCAGATATATATATATATATATATATATGTATTTATTTATTTCAACTAAGATTAAAAAAGAGAGAAGTATGAACATTCCCTGTCATTTACATTGCAGGTTTATGAGACTAATGGAGCTCATTTTAAATTGATTGGATATGGGCTCTTCTGGTTCCCGATGGCTATCGTTGCAGAAGCTGTTCAAACATTCATCTTGGCTGACTTCTGTTACTATTACATAAAGAGGTAAGAACATGTCATATTTTTTTCACCTTTTTATCAATTATAGTTCTCTGCGTATCAAATGTGATTGTATTTGTTACAACAATCCTCATTAGTTTTATTTTCTTGATTTGTAGTTTCATGGAGGGTCATCTTATAACGAAGCTACCAGTTTAGACCTGATTATAGAGAGTTATTTGATGCTTGATATTCCCTTTTTCTTTTTATATCCTTTTCTTTCTTGCTTTGGGATGATAAATATACAATTTACACCATTTTGGAATTGAAGAAGTAATGACTTGGAGGTTATGTTGAGTACAATCCGTCATTTATTCCCTTGACAACCAAACTATTTGCTTGAACACTTTCAATAGTTCTAGAACTTAATTGAAGGATGGAGTTTCTTACTCCTTAAATCTTAAAATGATACAGTGGATGTTTTTTAATTTAAAATTAACAGTTATTTTTTATATTTTTTCTAAAAAATATTTTTTATTTTAGTTTTCTTATTTTTTATTTTTTAAATAAAAATTATAATTTATACTCACATAATTACTTTAAAGATAAAATAAAATTGTCAAAAAAAAAATCTATTAGAATAGGTGCAGAGGGAGTAAGAACTTAAATTTTTTTGTTTTTGTACCGTAGTCACATACACGATAGGGAAAAATATACTTTTGTAACGTCATCTTGTTTGAATTTTACTATCTTAAGGATATGGTTAAAATTCAACGGGTTCTATCTCTTTATTTATTTATTTATTATATTTACAACTCTTTACAATTCATTTAATTGGAAGAAAATGCAATATAATCAAAAATAAAAAAAAAATGAAAATTAAAAAGAAAGAGAATAACTATCATGGAAACTTAGAATATTGCATGTGTAGGTACTTTGAGCTATGGAGGCATTTACTTGATGAATTATTTCATTTGGAGTTTCTCAGACATAACATCTCTTTTGTGATTTTTTTGTTTTTGATAAATTGTGATAAAATTATTAACAAAAAAAAATTGTTAAACAATCTAAACTATATAATAAAAAGTTTTGTATCAAAGACTAATCTTTTAATATTAAAATCCTCTTCCATTAAAAAATATATATCTCTATTTCGCAATGGATTATTAATGATAAGGAAATACTTTTAGTTATTTCATTTAAAAATTATTAAGATACAAGATTTTATTTATTTAGAAATGCTTAAAACACCTACTAGAAAGTTTTGTTTTCTCTTTATTTTTTTTTTTAAAAAAAAAGAGTTTTCCTTTGATTTATGTTATATTATATTATATGGTAAATTATACAATTAAAAATAACTATATTTTTTCTTAATCGTTAGCCAACCATCTTAAGAATTTTTAAGTTGATACTTTAAATTTTTAATCACTTAATATATCCCTTAAAAATTAAATCTATAGCTTCTTATCATGTAAACTATAATTAACTGTTTAAAAAATAAAATTTTTTTAATATGTATTTTAAAAACATAAATTAAATATATATTAAATATATTTTTTTATTATAAATTTATATTAAAACTAAAAATTAATTTTTAATTTATTAATTATTTAATTAAATTTATTTATATTAAAATTAATATTAATTTTTATATTATATATTTATTATAAAAAAAATATTTACTGCTTGCAATGAGAAAATTCCTAAAAAACAACTTTAAAATAACTTAAAGTTATGTTGCCTTGATAATAATATTGCCGCGCGGGCAGCAACCGCACAACTCTGTATCCAATCAGAAAGCTGCAAAAATGTCCACATCAGCTAAGCTGTGATGCCAACTACACCAACCACGTGTCAGGCCTAGATTCCCCAACACTAAAGCATAACGGACCCATTTGTAGTCTCCACACACGTGTCAACTCCAGAACCCCCAACGTGGCTTTCTGCTGTCCCACTCGACATCCCTAAAGCGAAAGAGATGGTGGTGGGGACTGGGGAAGGGAAACAACATCAAAATCCAACATCCACGTAACCCCCACAGCATCGCCAGCGTGTCAGACGCCACAGCTGTTCATCTACAACAACAGCCGCGTCCCTTAACCAGACACGTGTCAAACAGCCACCTCTTCATGCAGGGTGCCACGTGGCACCCCTCCCCCCGCGTTGCGTCATCATTGGATGTTCACGTTTCTCGACTAACGTTGGCTAAACAAACCGATTTCCCGCTAAATTTTATTATATATAATTTAAAACACTTAATTCAATTGATTAAAATTAATAATTAGTAACTATTTTAAAAAAAAATTAAAATACTATATTTTTATGCAATTAGTTTATTTTATTTAAAATTTTATATATAATATGATGGGTTTTTTATGTTAGATATATTTTATTATAATTAATTTTTTATTTAAAAATAAAATTTAATTTTGATTTAATCAATTAAAATAATTTACGAATCAATAATATTAAAATATATATATTAATTTTTATAATTTTTAATAAAAATTACTTATAAAAAAATACGTTTAGTATACCTTCACACAATAAAACAGATTAGATAAATATATATTTAACTATTTAATTCATAATTACAAATCTATGAGTCAGGATTAATGCTGTTAATCTGGCTTAACGCTTTCCATAAATATAACGGAAAAGCTTATTACGTGTCACCCACCGTCTTTTCCTGCTTCTCATCTCTCGCCAGGTGTCATCCGATTTCTTCTCCTCTTTCCTCTGGTGTGTTTTTTGCCTTTCTTTTTCTCCCAAAGAAATCTGAATCCCGGAAAGGAAAGCTAAAAATTTAAATACTTTACGGTTCTTGATTTTTCTCTTCGTTTTTAATCGAAGCATGAAGGTTTGAGTTTTTAAGGTTTTTTTTCTCAATGAAGAACGGATGTGCAATGATGGGGTTGAGGGAGGATGAGATTGAGCTGGAGCTGGGTATGTCGATCGGAAGGAGTTTCAGGAAGGCGGAGAAATTGAAGCCAATTAAGAACCCAAATGGGAACGATTCAAACACCGGTGGTTTTCCGGCGGATCTTGATCCGCAGACGAAGCGTGAGATTCAAATGCTGCGACGACAGGAGGCAAAGAAGAAGCAGCAGCAGAAGAGAGCGCTGAACAGGGGTACTCAAAACGGGGAGATTCAGAGCAAAGAGAACTCGCCCGACCCAGATGAGAAAGAATGCAAGAAGAGCAGGGGAGACGGGTCTGGATCCAAATTGAAGAAAGTGAATCTAAATTTGGCGATAGAACAAAGCGGGAATCATGACGACGCTGTTCCTAATCCAGCGATGTACCCGGTGATTCCGGTGTCTGTACCGTACCTGTACCCGTTCCAGCAGCTGCAGTACGTCCCTTATGCAAATGGGTTTGCGTACCCTTGCTTGAATGGGGCGCCCTGTTGGGGTGGTGACACCGGGGATAAGAATCCCGGCAATGTGGTGCAGCCACAGACGAACCGAGGCTTTAGACCGTTTCAAGCGGGTCAGAATTCGAATGTCAAAGCGGGTAACACGTGCGTTTCGGATCAGAATAGTAGCAAAGATGAAAAGAATAGGAAATCGGGTTCCAATGGGTCGCCCATGTGCAGTTCCTCTGTGGTTTCGGATCTCCATAGTTCATCTAACCAAGGTACTTTTTAATCTCTTTCAATTTTTTTTTTTT